GATCGCTTCCAATGTCTGTAGAACAACTTTACTGGAATACAAGACTTCCTGTTTTACTGGTAACCAGTACTGTTGATTGACAGGTAACCAGTACTGTTGATTGACAGGTAACCAGTACTGTTGACTGACAGGTAACCAGTACTGTTGACTGACAGGTAACCAGTACTGTTGATTGACAGGTAACCAGTACTGTTGATTGACAGGTAACCAGTACTGTTGATTGACAGGTAACCAGTACTGTTGACTGACAGGTAACCAGTACTGTTGACTGACAGGTAACCAGTACTGTTGATTGACAGGTAACCAGTACTGTTGACTGACAGGTAACCAGTACTGTTTATTGACAGGTAACCAGTACTGTTGACTGACAGGTAACCAGTACTGTTGACTGACAGGTAACCAGTACTGTTGACTGACAGGTAACCAGTACTGTTGATTGACAGGTAACCAGTACTGTTGATTGACAGGTAACCAGTACTGTTGATTGACAGGTAACCAGTACTGTTGATTGACAGGTAACCAGTACTGTTGACTGACAGGTAACCAGTACTGTTGACTGACAGGTAACCAGTACTGTTGATTGACAGGTAACCAGTACTGTTGACTGACAGGTAACCAGTACTGTTTATTGACAGGTAACCAGTACTGTTGACTGACAGGTAACCAGTACTGTTGATTGACAGGTAACCAGTACTGTTGACTGACAGGTAACCAGTACTGTTGATTGACAGGTAACCAGTACTGTTGATTGACAGGTAACCAGTACTGTTGACTGACAGGTAACCAGTACTGTTGACTGACAGGTAACCAGTACTGTTGACTGACAGGTAACCAGTACTGTTGATTGACAGGTAACCAGTACTGTTGATTGACAGGTAACCAGTACTGTTGACTGACAGGTAACCAGTACTGTTGATTGACAGGTAACCAGTACTGTTGATTGACAGGTAACCAGTACTGTTGACTGACAGGTAACCAGTACTGTTGATTGACAGGTAACCAGTACTGTTGATTGACAGGTAACCAGTACTGTTGATTGACAGGTAACCAGTACTGTTGACTGACAGGTAACCAGTACTGTTGACTGACAGGTAACCAGTACTGTTGATTGACAGGTAACCAGTACTGTTGATTGACAAGTAACCAGTACTGTTGACTGACAGGTAACCAGTACTGTTGACTGACAGGTAACCAGTACTGTTGACTGACAGGTAACCAGTACTGTTGACTGACAGGTAACCAGTACTGTTGACTGACAGGTAACCAGTACTGTTGACTGACAGGTAACCAGTACTGTTGATTGACAGGTAACCAGTACTGTTGATTGACAGGTAACCAGTACTGTTGACTGACAGGTAACCAGTACTGTTGACTGACAGGTAACCAGTACTGTTGACTGACAGGTAACCAGTACTGTTGATTGACAGGTAACCAGTACTGTTGATTGACAGGTAACCAGTACTGTTGACTGACAGGTAACCAGTACTGTTGATTGACAGGTAACCAGTACTGTTGATTGACAGGTAACCAGTACTGTTGATTGACAGGTAACCAGTACTGTTGATTGACAGGTAACCAGTACTGTTGATTGACAGGTAACCAGTACTGTTGATTGACAGGTAACCAGTACTGTTGACTGACAGGTAACCAGTACTGTTGATTGACAGGTAACCAGTACTGTTGATTGACAGGTAACCAGTACTGTTGATTGACAGGTAACCAGTACTGTTGATTGACAGGTAACCAGTACTGTTGACTGACAGGTAACCAGTACTGTTGACTGACAGGTAACCAGTACTGTTGACTGACAGGTAACCAGTACTGTTGATTGACAAGTAACCAGTACTGTTGACTGACAGGTAACCAGTACTGTTGACTGACAGGTAACCAGTACTGTTGACTGACAGGTAACCAGTACTGTTGACTGACAGGTAACCAGTACTGTTGACTGACAGGTAACCAGTACTGTTGATTGACAGGTAACCAGTACTGTTGATTGACAGGTAACCAGTACTGTTGACTGACAGGTAACCAGTACTGTTGACTGACAGGTAACCAGTACTGTTGACTGACAGGTAACCAGTACTGTTGATTGACAAGTAACCAGTACTGTTGACTGACAGGTAACCAGTACTGTTGACTGACAGGTAACCAGTACTGTTGACTGACAGGTAACCAGTACTGTTGACTGACAGGTAACCAGTACTGTTGACTGACAGGTAACCAGTACTGTTGACTGACAGGTAACCAGTACTGTTGATTGACAGGTAACCAGTACTGTTGATTGACAGGTAACCAGTACTGTTGACTGACAGGTAACCAGTACTGTTGACTGACAGGTAACCAGTACCAGTACTGTTGACTGACAGGTAACCAGTACTGTTGACTGACAGGTAACCAGTACTGTTGACTGACAGGTAACCAGTACTGTTGATTGACAGGTAACCAGTACTGTTGATTGACAGGTAACCAGTACTGTTGATTGACAGGTAACCAGTACTGTTGATTGACAGGTAACCAGTACTGTTGACTGACAGGTAACCAGTACTGTTGACTGACAGGTAACCAGTACTGTTGACTGACAGGTAACCAGTACTGTTGATTGACAGGTAACCAGTACTGTTGATTGACAGGTAACCAGTACTGTTGACTGACAGGTAACCAGTACTGTTGATTGACAGGTAACCAGTACTGTTGATTGACAGGTAACCAGTACTGTTGACTGACAGGTAACCAGTACTGTTGATTGACAGGTAACCAGTACTGTTGATTGACAGGTAACCAGTACTGTTGATTGACAGGTAACCAGTACTGTTGATTGACAGGTAACCAGTACTGTTGATTGACAGGTAACCCGGACCAGCTGAGCCACAGCGCAGCCTCTCTGCTTCGGCGGGACTTTAAGCTGAAATGTTTGGATCTCTGCGGCTCATTGCTAGCCTGCTGCAGACCGACAGCATGGCTTCCAGCTAGAGTCACGTCTGCCGCCGTATCGACCCTCCATGAACGTCATTTACTGTTAAACTCTAGTTTTTTCTTCAGTCTGACCCAGTTGACGATCAGCCTGCTGATCAGGGGAAACTAATTCAGAGCATTTTCTATATCAAGTGTTAAAAACTAAACTGCCATTAATTGATGAAGGATATTTTTACTCACCTCTATCAGACGCCCTCAGTGGGACGTCGGACCCGACTGGAACCAGAAATGACTTGGAATCGGACCAAGATGAAAGCAAACTGCATCTGACCTAGAATGCGCTCTGGGCCAGAACCTTAATGAACTCATCGGGTCAAAGAGGAGGAAGAGCAGAACCCTGATCGGTCCTCCTGCGGTCTCAGAGGTGGGGAGCATCCATGTTCAAACAGACACGTATGGCAGATACGAGTCAGTGGGTCCAAACAGCCGGTAGTAACTGGGATAAACCCAACAGAACCATTAAACCCGCCCCTGACACTGACAGCTGCTCCTCTGGACCAACCAGAGAGAAGAACCTAAGAACTGTCTGAGGACGGGGGGGGGGGGGGGCTGACCCGACCACACAGCGGGCCTCCTCACACCACCCCCCACCCCTTCAGTCACAGGCTGAATGGCAGATGGGCGTTCCCGTGGGAGGGGAGGGGTTACCACGGCAACAAAGACTTTGTATTGAAAGGCCTGAAATCAGGAAGGAGGGACAGCATGCGTCTCCGTCTCCTCTGGACGTCCTAAAGGTTCTGAAACTTTTCTCTCTTTGGGTCAAACTGTTTCTAAATCTGCGACATGGCTGAGTAGGTCTGTGCGATAAACCCGACTTTTACCGTTACCGTCATTCACCACGATAACCGCGACAATTCTCCCAGCTGGAAAAAGGCTCCCAGCGTTCTGGCGCTCCTCGCTCTGCTAGCTGCTCCATCTTCACCAGGCGTTTTCAACATGGCGATCAGACAGACAAAACCAGCCGGTAAGGAACCAAACAGGGAATATGGATAGAGTAGAGCCGATAGGGAACTGACCAATCAGAGGCCTCCTGTCTGCGATCACCTACAGTCAAGGAGAGGTGCAGCAGAGTGTCTGCGGAAGGGGCGGGGCTTATCTGCGTTAACTGCAACACACGCAGACGGCCTGGTTTCTGAGCATAAACCAGCCTTAACCATCATGGTGGGCTACACTCCTATCAGAGGGTCTCAGGAAGCTATGAGAATCCAGCAGAGACCAAAGCGCCCCCTGCTGGAAAATCACTGCAACGTTCTGGATGCCACCATTCAGCTCCTATTCACACACTTACAGTTAAAGAGCCGCAACACGGCGGCTCACTGAACAATGGCCACTCCTGTCCTCCATACAACACTCACCACAGGAGGGGGGGGGAGTAGAGGAGGAGGAGGAGAAGGAGGAAGAAGTAGAGCAGGGGGTGGGGGTGGGTGAAGTAGAGGAGGAGGAGGAGGCGGTGAGGGGGAGGACGTTGCTGCGTGTTTGAGCTGAAAGCTCCTCATTTTCATCATTATTACATTTTGTGATTGACAGGCCGACGGTGGCGTTGGATGTACGAGTTTGCCCTGAAATCGAAGGGTTGACGGTTCAAGCCCTGACTCTGACTTTCAGTGTCGTTGTGTCCTTGGGCAAGACACTTCCCCTGCATTGTCTACTGATGGTGGTCAGAGGGTGGCGCCAGTGTGCGGCAGCCCCGCTTCTGTCAGTGAGCCCCAGGGCAGCTGTGGCTACAATGCAGCTCGCCACCATCAGTGTGTGAATGAATGTAAAGCGCTTTGGTCGAGTCTCCTGACTTGAAAAAAGGCGCCATATAAGTACAGGCCTTTTACCTTTTAACATTTTTTTCCAACATTTTTTTTAATTATTACTATTAAAAACAACAGGTGGGGGAGGGGGGGGGGGGGCAGTCATAATTTTATTGATATTTTTAATTCTCATCAGTTTGTTTGAAAAATCTATCTGCTTTGAGATGAACTGCTAATATTTCTGATAAATAATTGTGGGAGCAGAAGCGTGTGGGTGAACGGTACCTGATCCAGGAAGCGGTACAGCTGCACGGCCCGCTCCAAGTTCTGCCCGGTTCCTTTGACCCGCTGAGAGAAGTCCTGCAGCTGAGCCCAGAATGAGTGAACTTTGACCTCGTAGGCGTGGAGGTCCGGTGAAGAGACGTCCTCCCAGCGCTCTAGACGGGACAGCAGAGCCTCACCTTGTTTACAGCGGTCCTGAACGAAGCACAGCCGGGTCAGAACCAGAACCATCAGAACCAGAACCAGATTTAATCCACTTTATGAGGCTAAGGAGGGAATTTTCCTCCATTATTGTTTTAAAGATCACATTTTGGAAAGAAAAAAAAATGCATTCCAGACAATGAAACTTTTAAATGTTTTCATAAAGAAAATGTTATAAGAGTAACTTTGCTCTTCTCTCTATTTCAATGTAAAAATATAAAATTTATACTTTTTCATATTTTAAATTTTTTCCTCATAAATTTTTTCTATACAGATTTTAGATTTTTAGTTTTCTTTAAGAACGGGATTCTTTTTATGTTGTCTTTTATACATCATATCCTCACATTGACCAATAAACAGCTGTTGTTGAGGTCTGAGCCGACCAATAGAAACGCTTCACTCCTCCCTCCAGAGGAAAGCCCGCCCCCAGAGAGGAAGACATTATGATCTGGATTCTGAAAAGAAAGCGATTCATAAAACTAAATCTGGAACAGAACATAAGAGGAAAAAATTAAAAACACAAATTCTGTAAAAATAAAATAGGAAGAAGAAAAATTAAAGAATTAATTTGAAAAAAGCAAAATCAGAAAAGAGAGCAAAGTTACTCTCAAACCCATTTTTTCAATGTTTTATTTCTGGATTGCATTTTGTTCATATTTCCGTGGTCAGAATGCTTGTGAAAATAATGGAACAAAATTCCCTCCGTACCCCCAGACCCAAACCCAAAGGTTGTTCTGTTTCTACGGCAGCCCAGATGGGACAGAATAACTCAGACATTGAATGTTCTGCCGGACCGACCGTTCAGAACCGAACCCATCTGGACATCACTCAGAACCCGGTGGCTTCCACCGTGCTACAAACGCTGGGCGGGACATACGTAAGCCGTGGTGACGAACTCCTTGAACTCCTCCTGTTTGCTGTTCAGAAGCTCCAGGGAATCTGCAGGTTCGTTCAGGGCCTTCAGACGGAGCTCACCGACCTCGTCAAGCCACGCCTTCACCTGTCAGCAGGTAAGAACAGGATCAGATCCGGATCCTGCGCTCAGAACTCTGTCAGCTTACGGTTCTCTAAAGGCTGCAGGTCATAGAGGGCAACGGTGTAAAGAACCAGAGAACGTTCTAGTAGCGCTTTGGTTTGGTACTTTTATTTAACTCTGACTGATTTTAGTCACCGACAGTCAGTAGGATGATTTTTATGGCATAAAATGTGCAGTCTTAAAGAAGAAAATGCAAATAGGATGATTGATTACTAATTTCATTTATGAGTCAAACAACGCAGCCACATTCTTAAAATGAAAACGCATTTCTGGAAATGCTTTTTCACTTGAAATATGGTAACAATTTGCTTCCATAGATTTTCACCATCCTGCAGGAAAAGTGGAGAGAAGTGATGTTGAGAAAAAGCTTCATGATGCATTGAACCGTTTGGCCTTATTGCTTCATCGATCCCCACAGTTCATAAAGCTTCAGGTCAACATGTCACCACCTACTGGTGAAATGCAGAACTACAGTTACTAATATAATCTGGGATTTTTTTGCAATTGTTCTTCTTTTGTTTTTCCCCCATTTTAGTTCCTTTAAAATTGTTAATGATTGGTGTGTATAATAAAATCCTTTATTGTTTTTGAGTGTAAAATATCTTAGAAATGAACAATCTTTTAAGGTTCACTGTCTTTCTGCCATTTAAGCTTAATCAGACGGTGGCAAATTGGGCAATGATGAGCAAAATGAACGTCGCTAATCATTTTTATTCAAAAATAATCTTTTTTCCAGTTTTTGGTTTTAATCGGGTTGGAAGTTATGTGTTCAACCAATCCTTTGGTTAAACCAACCAATCTAATTTGGCAGCGTTTTACCCGATCAATATTTGCATTAGGGCAAACCAATAGAAATTAGTCACATTAGCCAAAACGGTCTTTAACACACGGCTATGCAGAGAGAGGGCTGCTGAGGACGGGCTAACGTTAGCATCACGGCACAGAGGCTTCGGCCATCATCAATATTGGCCCCTCGCCTAAATGAAACATGCATCAACACACGCTTCAGGGAAACGCCCCCTCAATTACCTTACACTAGCCTCTAGCCTCGGCTCATCTCATGACATCACTAGTGGCGAGATTATAGAGACGAGGCGAGCAAAAACAGGTTTAGATGATTTAGTCTTCAACTACATTAAAACTGAATATTTCCATATTATTGTGAGGATCCATTAGGAAACCCTCAGCAGAAACACGGCTGAATCAGAACCTCTGCCACAATCACAAGCTTTTCAACCCTCATTTAAAGTGTGCAGCTCCACCAGCAGGGGGCGCTGGGGGGCAGAGCAGAGCTGATGCCACACGGCAAAGACTGAGCTCAACCTAAACATTCAATCTGGTTACAATGACAGCGACGGGGAGGAGCTAACCTGATAGAAGGGGGCGGGGTTAACCTGATAGAAAGGGGCGGGGTTAACCTGATAGAAGGGGGCGGGGTTAACCTGATAGAAGGGGGCGGGGTTAACCTGATAGAAGGGGGCGGGGTTAACCTGATAGAAGGGGGAGGAGCTAACCTGATAGAAGGGGGCGGGGTTAACCTGACAGAAGGGGGAGGGGTTAACCTGACAGAAGGGGGAGGGGCTAACCTGATAGAAAGGGGAGGGGCTAACCTGATAGAAGGGGGAGGGGCTAACCTGATAGAAAGGGGAGGGGCTAACCTGATAGAAAGGGGAGGGGCTAACCTGATAGAAAGGGGAGGAGCTAACCTGATAGAAGGGGGCGGGGTTAACCTGATGAAAGGGGAGGAGCTAACCTGACAGAAGGGGGCGGGGTTAACTTGACAGAAGGGGGAGGGGCTAACCTGACAGAAGGGGGAGGGGCTAACCTGACAGAAGGGGGAGGGGCTAACCTGACAGAAGGGGGAGGGGCTAACCTGACAGAAGGGGGAGGGGCTAACCTGATAGAAGGGGGAGGGGCTAACCTGATAGAAGGGGGAGGGGCTAACCTGATAGAAGGGGGCGGGGTTAACCTGATAGAAAGGGGAGGAGCTAACCTGATAGAAGGGGGCGGGGTTAACCTGATAGAAGGGGGAGGAGTTTCCTCTAAACAAGGCTTCTCTATGTTTGACTGTGTGGCGTTGCTACCTGAACAGGCTCCTGGACATCAGCGCTCAGCCTCACCTGGTTGAAACCCGTCTCCAGGTTCCTGAACTCGACGATGAAGCTGAGCTCCTGCGTCTTGGAGTTGGACAGAGTCACCAGGCGGTGCAGCAGCTCGTCCACTTGATCATAGAGGGACGACACCGTCTCCACGGTGGCCCGCTGCTCCTCTGACGCTCCGCTGACCTCCTCCCTACGTAGCCACGCCAGGGAGGCTCCGCCCTCCTGCTGCAGCTGGAGCAGTTTAACGTCCTTCAGAGTGCTGCACATCACAGCCCTGAAGTTGGACAGCAGCAGCTCTGCGTCCTGCAGACAGACAGACGGACAGAAGCTGGTCTAGTTCAGCTAAACACACAGAGGAAGTTCTGCTCGTCTCTTTATATTTAAAGTTCATCAGATTATAGAAACAGATAAACCAGTAAAACACGGATCTATTCAAATATGGAGTCATTTTTGTTCCGTTATTGTTGCAAGAAAAGAAAACATGGAAATGGAAATAAAAAAAAAAAAGCAAATCTAGGAATTAAATTTGGGAAAATTTTGCAGTTTTCTAAGAATTGTTTTTATTTTTCCTAATGAATTTTTCATATTTAATTTTGCTAAAACTTCCTTAGTTTAGTTTATTTTTTTAACAGATTTTACAGTTTTACTTGTTTTATTTATCTTTTCAGATTCTAATTCTTTTCAATTGTTTTGAAAGTGTTTTTTCTAGATTCCATTTCCTGCATTTCTGGGGACCGGCTTCATCTGGAGCAAGACGCATTTCTATGGGTCTGCCGGACGTTTTATAGTGAAACTGAGTAAGAGAAGAGAAGAGAATCTGATCTGTGAAAAGAAAAGAAACACAGCTGAGCTACTGAAACAGAAGGGAAGCACAGAGAACAAAAACACATCAAAGTAGCTGTTCAAACTTGATACCCAACCTGGGATTAAGGATTAAACACAAAAATATCCCATGGAGTCTCTGAAAACTCCAGAGGATTTTCTCCAAACAGTAAATCCAGAACATTTCAAACCAAACAGAGACCAGTTCATCCTAAAGACCTAATCTGAGCAGAGCGTCTGCAGGTCAATGATGTGATCTTTATATTGGAGAAACCAAACAACCTCTCCACAGACGCATGGCCCAACACAGGAGAGCGCCCTCCTCTGGACAAAGAGGACAGGCGGTTTGAGAGGAAGGAAGCATCTATGTTAGGAAAGAAAAACCAACCTTAAAGGGGGGGGGGGGTTGATGCAGCGATAGAGTTGATTCCTTCCCGCTATCATCGCAGGAGAACAGAGACCTCTCCTATTCATCCAGGCCAACTATTCCCTCTAACGCCCCCCCTTTCAGAGACATAGACAGGTATGGGGCATTGCAGGCTAACAAAGAAGCCAAACGACCCCCATTCCAAAGGGGGGGACCCGTTCATCAGTTTCTATTTGCATGTTTTCTAAACTAAAACCAGGCTTTGTTGGGCTGCTGGATAAAACCTGGAACTAAACGCTATTTCTGACATTTTGGATTGAAAAATCTTCCTGGATGGAAGAGAAACGTCTTCAAACGTGGAAACAACGTCCAGAGGATTGATTTTAACTTTTTTGGACTGATTATAACCTGGATGACTGAGAATCTGATTCTCAATTCATACCGATTCAACTGAATCTAACAGAAATTGGAGAAGCTAATTCAAAAATACAAAAGAATAATTAAAAAATGTGTTTTGATTACATGTTGGTTGACGTTTCATTTCTGGATTGTTTTTTTTTTTCAAATTGTATTTAACAAAATGTGTTGTTTGCTTGCAACAATAATGGAAGATAAAGATGTGAAAGCTCCAATCAGAAGTTCCAACCTGATCAGTTTATAGAAGCTGATGGTTCCCAGAGCAAACCAGCAGAGACGCAGCAGCTGGATGGTTTCTTACCTCAGCAGCAGCAGGTAACGGCGTCCTCTGCAGATTGCTGATGGTTTCCTGTAGCAGATTAATGACGCTTGTGCACTGTTGGGTTAGCTGCTCGACCCTCTGAGGATGAGACAAAAAAACTTTATTTAAAAGTCTATAAAACCTGCACAACTGTTTGCTTTTATTGAAGCTGCATAATGTGATGGTTTGAATCTGACTGGAGGCAGAAACCATCCACTGCTGGGGGGGGGGGTGTTATCAGGTGTAGTTATGAAAGTGGCCTCATGGTGTCACTGTTCCGTTCAGTACGTTTCTCAGGGAGAATAGAAGGTTTTCTGACAGCAGCTCTGTGGATTAAATAAATCTGATGAAGAGGAAGAATCGTTTTCCCTCAACTTCACTGATCATGTGAACCAAAGGAGGCATTAATACTTAAAAAAGATTAAAACGCTCCACTGAAGGATTAAAAACAAATCTAGAAGTGTCTACAGGTTTAATTTATAACTTAAGTCTTTAATGGATGATATATTTTTATTCAGGTAATGGTCCTGGAGGAACTCCACATTTGATTTCTGCCCATTAAAACTGATCCTTGAAACTGAGACCTGGTCTTCCTTCCATTCTTCTTCTAAGCTTGTTGGACGATGATGGTATCCTGCAGGCCGTGCAGGATCACAGCTTCTAAGATCACACCCTGCTCTCTGACTTGGAAATTGGAGCGAAACTGCAGTCAGTCTGTCGGCCTCCGTGTGAGAGGGGACCATCAGGTGAAGGTAGGACAACTCCTTCAGCCTCGTTTTCCCTGCAGATACCTGAGCCAGAAGGACTGAGGTGGAAACGTTCTGATCCAGTTCAGAGGGAACCAGTACCACCCTGGATTCCATCAGAGGAACCATCCTGCAGATCCCTGAGCTCTGTCTGTTGGTGTGTGTTTACTAACCGATCTGAAGCTGATCCAGCTGCTCTGACTGAAGCCAAACGATCCTCCAAACTCTGCAGGAAGCTGCTGGAGCTCCACGTGTCTCTGCAGAGACTTCAGAGAGCTCAGCACCTCCACCTGCATGGCGTACAGAGACAGGTGAGCCGGCTCTGTGAGCAGCAGCGGAGGCTGATCAGGTGCTGAGGTTACCTGTACAGGAGCAGCTTGGTCCACATGCAGCCAGCCTTTGCTAGCCAGGATTAGCACAGCGTGGATGGAGACAGACGCGTCCTCCTGGACATTAGGACACAGGAGCTACATGATTAGAACCACTTCAGACCAGAACAGAACCAGAAGCAGGTCTTCAGGCAAACGTTTCTAAAGATACAACTTTAAATATTTAGCAGTTAAACCAGGAAAACATTTCATGAAACCGGAAAGAAGAGTTGGACCGTAGAGATAACGTAACCCTTAAATAAAAATGATCGTCCTCAGGATGTTAGAAGTTATCAGGACTGGTTCTGACCCACTGGGCTCAGTCCTGATTCTTCTGGACCTTACAGCCACCTTTTATTCAGCTGATGAAAAAATCCTCCTTTAGATCATAAAGAGCAAACTAGTGTTGCAACATACAGCAGTTCCAGCTAACGGTATGCAGGGACATGCAGGGACATGCAGGGATACTGCAGTATGGATCTAATCTAGGTTAGAGCCGTCTTTCTAGATCAGGTTTTATACAGCAACAGAAACTGATTTATAAGAGATTCAGAAATTGTTTTATTTGCAGAGTAGAAACTGGTTTAAAAGTGGAGCAAATCCTTATTTAAAAAGTTAATCCAAACGGGTTTGAATGTGGATCAAACATGAAACAGAAACAGATTTTAAAAGTTGATAAAATGAGTTTATAACTGAATTGGAAACTGGTTTAATCGTCTCCTATTTGTCTCCTATTTTTTTTCTGTGTTTTATTCCTAAATGTTGGAGATTCCCAGATGGCAAAAACGAATGTACCTTTGGGTATCAATAAAGTTAGCTTGAATTTGTAAAGTGTATATCTACAGTCAAGGCCAAACGTTTTGAGAATGATTCAAATGTTAATATTTCCAAAGTCTGCTTCAGTTTTTATAACTGTAATCTGCATATAGTCCAGAATGTTCTAAAGAGTGATCAGCGTAACAGCAATTAATTGCAAAGGCAATATTTGCCTAGAAAATGAACTTTATCCCCTAAACACATTTCATGGTGATTGCAGCCCTGCCTTAAAGGAGCAGCTACCATGGTTTCAGTGATTGGTCCATTAACTCAGGTGTGGGTGGTGATGAGGACAGGGCTGCAGATCAATCTGTCAGGATTCAGTCAGAATGACGCCACTGGACACTTTAAAAAGAGGCTGCTGCTCGGCATCATTGGTTCTCTGCTGTGAACCATGGTTATCTCTAAAGAAACACCTGCAGTCATCATTGCACTGCACAAAGATGGCCGAACAGGAAAGAGAATGGCAGCTAGAGAGATTGCACCTCAGTCAGCAATCTATGGCATCATCAGGAACTTCAAGGAGAGAGGTTCCATTGCTGCCAAAAAGGCTCCAGGGCGCCAAGAAAGACCAGCGAGCGCCAGGACCGTCTCTGAAAAGTGTTTCAGCTGCTCCCAACTGTCCCAGAGCAACTTCTCCCAACCGTCCCAGAGCAATTTCTCCCAACCGTCCCAGAGCAACTTCTCCCAACCGTCCCAGAGCAACTTCTTCCAACCGTCCCAGAGCAACTTCTCCCAACCGTCCCAGGGCAACTTCTCCCAACCGTCCCAGAGCAATTTCTCCCAACCGTCCCAGAGCAACTTCTCCCAACCGTCCCAGAGCAATTTCTCCCAACTGTCCCAGAGCAACTTCTCCCAACCGTCCCAGAGCAATTTCTCCCAACCGTCCCAGAGCAACTTCTCCCAACCGTCCCAGAGCAACTTCTCCCAACCGACTTCTCCCAACCGTCCCAGAGCAACTTCTCCCAACCGTCCCAGAGCAACTTCTCCCAACCGACTTCTCCCAACCGTCCCAGAGCAACTTCTCCCAACCGTCCCAGAGCAACTTCTCCCAACCGTCCCAGAGCAACTTCTCCCAACCGTCCCAGAGCAACTTCTCCCAACCGTCCCAGAGCAGTTTGGTGATGAACGATGCCTTTTCCAGCATGATGGAGCACCTCGCCATAAAGCAAAGCTGATATCTGACTGATATCTAACTGGCTCAGGGAACAAAACAGAGAGATGTTGGGTCCATGGCCTGGAAACTCCCCTGATCTTAATCCCATTGGTCAATCATCAACAGAATCCTGACCAAATGCAAGCATTGATGGAGCAGAATGGACGCTATCAGTCAGGATTTGGTCCAGAAGTTGATGGAGAGCAGCCAGGGAGAAATGTCCTGAAGAAGAGGAGTCAACACTGCAAATACTGACCTGCTGCATGAACTCATTCTGTCATTAAAAGCTTTGGTTACTCAGAATATGATGCTATTGTATTTCTGGATGTGATGCAACATCTGACATGAACACCAGAGGGCAGCAGATCAGCTGGAAATAGAACATTTGTGTCGTTCTAGATACTTTTGGCCATGACTGTAATTACCAGAATTACCACCGTGGATCAGAAACTGGTTCCAGTGGATCAGAAACTGGTTCCAGTAAATCAGAAACTGGTTCACAGTGAATCAGAAACTGGTTCACAGTAAATCAGAAACTGGTTCACAGTGAATCAGAAACTGGTTCACAGTGAATCAGAAACTGGTTCACAGTGAATCAGAAACTGGTTCCAGTGGATCAGAAACTGGTTCCAGTAAATCAGAAACTGGTTCACAGTGAATCAGAAACTGGTTCCAGTGGATCAGAAACTGGTTCACAGTGAATCAGAAACTGGTTCGGAGTGGATCAGAAACTGGTTCGGAGTGGATCAGAAACTGGTTCGCAGGGGATCAGAAACTGGTTCCAGTGAATCAGAAACTGGTTCCAGTGAATCAGAAACTGGTTCACAGTGAATCAGAAACTGGTTCCAGTGAATCAGAAACTGGTTCACAGTGAATCAGAAAACTGTTCACAGTGAATTAGAAACTGGTTCACAGTGAATCAGAAACTGGTTCACAGTGTATCAGAAACTGGTTCACAGTGAATCAGAAACTGGTTCACAGTGAATCAGAAACTGGTTCCAGTGAATCAGAAACTGGTTCACAGTGAATCAGAAAATGGTTCACAGTGAATCAGAAACTGGTTCACAGTGAATTAGAAACTGGTTCACAGTGAATCAGAAACTGGTTCCAGTGAATCAGAAACTGGTTCCAGTGAATCAGAAACTGGTTCCAGTGAATCAGAAACTGGTTTGCAGTAAATCAGAAACTGGTTCGCAGTGGATCAGAAAATGGTTCGCAGTGAATCAGAAACTGGTTCCAGTGAATCAGAAACTGGTTCCAGTAAATCAGAAACTGGTTCGCAGTGGATCAGACACTGGTTCCAGCGTATCAGAAACTGGTTCCATTGGATCAGAAGTTCGCAGTGAATCAGAAACTGGTTCCAGTGAATCAGAAACTGGTTCCAGTAAATCAGAAACTGGTTCGCAGTGGATCAGACACTGGTTCCAGCGTATCAGAAACTGGTTCACATTGGATCAGAAACTGGTTCCAGCGGATCAGAAACTGGTTCGCAGAGGATCAGAAACTGGTTCCAGTGGATCAGAAACTGGTTCCAGTGGATCAGAAACTGGTTCCAGTGGATCAGAAACTGGTTCCAGTGAATCAGAAACTGGTTCACAGTGGATCAGAAACTGGTTCGCATTGGATCAGAAACTGGTTCGCAGTGGATCAGAAACTGGTTCGCAGTGGATCAGAAACTGGTTTATGATCGATAAGATCCTGATCTGATTACATATATTTCTTTGGTTCTGGTAATGGTTTCTGGTAATGGTTTCTGACCTTGTGACCGTTGTCTAATTTTTCCAGACTGACCTGCAGAGTCCAGAGGGCAGAGAAGAGGACAGAAGGAGGAGCAGCACTGCGGGCATCCACCACCACCGTCAGCCCCTTTGCTCGAGCCTCCGTACTGTGTCACACAGGAAATTATGTCAGAGGGAGACCAACCACCTGGACCAGAGTGTTGTGGCAGGATGAGCTGCATACCTGAGGGTAGAGGTGTAGTAGAGCAGGATGCTGAGCAGCTCCTCATGGTCACAGTCTGGGTTCAGCCAGATGGGGTTGGAGGTGGAGACGGTGAGCAGCGTTCGTCCTCCTCTGTCTCTGGTTCCTAGTGGAGACACACACTGCTAATCCAAATACTTCAAACATGTTCTAACACGGAATAAGGACTGGTCAGGTCTGGAGGTCAGGACAGGTCTACCATTCACAGACGTTCTGCTGCTTACCAGGCAGACACACCGCTCCAGACCTCAGCAACAAGCTGTGGAAGCTGGACTGGAAAGACCGTGATGGAGCTGATGGTTTTTCTGGTTCCTTTGGACCTGAGTCAGCGCTGATGTTTAACTGGATTGGGGGACATTCGCAGCTAGAACCTGTGGAAGCAGCACAGAGGCAGAATGACCCTGGATCATATATGATTATATCATATGATATCACCAGGACAACCTGATGCGTTAAGGTAAACTGCTCGCTTCATACATGCTGATTATGGCTGAAATCTTGGTGTCCTGATGGACTCAGACCTGAACCTTCAGAGGCACATAAAGGCAGCCTTTTATCACCTGAAGAACATTTCTAGGATTGAAAGATAAATGTCCAGCAGGATCTAAAAAAGCTCAATCATGCATTTATCTTTAGTAGAATTGATGCCTGCAACAGTGTCTTCATAGGTTTGCCTAAAGCAGGGGCGTCAAAGTGGTTCCAGAAAGGGCCGTATGGCTGCAGGTTTTCTTTCCAACCAAGCAGTAGCGCCAGACTCCATTCATCTCATTAAGTCCTCATGTTAAGACTGGACTCACTGGACCCGCTGCCTGCATCCTCACTAGAACTAAGAAAGTAGAACACATCAGCTCAGTTCTGAAGTCCCTCCTCTGGCTCCCTGTAGCTCAGAGAATAGACTTTAATCCTTCTGTCAGTCTAGAAATCACTATGGATCAGCATCTCAATACATAACAGATCTATGGTCAGTGTATCTACCTCCCAGACCACTCAGGTCTTCTACTTCCAGAACTAGAACAGAACATGGAGAAGTAGAATTTAGTTTCTATGCTCCACTGATCTAAAACAAACTACCAGAAGTCTGGAAAAGAGTTCTTTTAAATCAAAGTTATAGACCTATTTGTTTAGAGCTGCCTTTGACTGTTGAAGTTAAGTGGTCTAATTGTTTTACAAATGTTTTCACTTATATTCTGCTTTTAGTTTTCTTCTATTTTATTTTCTAATTCATGTAAAGCACGTTGAATCGTCCCTGTACTGAACTATGCTATGGAAACACAGAATCAGGAGAGTTCCAGCACCAGGCGATGGATGACGATCTTCACCAAACTGTAAAGGTCACCAGCAGCAGGACTTCTTCATTATAAGAAGCTCAGACCGTCTGGTATCTGACAGGGTTCAGTTTTCCACTGTGGTGGAGGCCATGACAGAACATACATCACCTCTGTGAGGCGTTCACTATCTCTCAGAACAGCGTCCGCAACCAAACAGAGAAGCAGCTAAACTCGGTCTGAGACTGAGCTGAGCACCAGGATACTTTCATCTATAGTCTGCTGTTCAATCATTAAAAAGCAAACAGTAATCTCAGAGGTGGGGGACAGTTTTCTTTTCTCTATGACATTAAATTAACTTTATAATCTGACGAGCATTAAACAAATATTCCAACAACAAGAAGGGAAGAAAAGCTGAAACTAAGTCAATCTGATCTTTATAACATTGATCAATACTAAAAGTGCCAAAGATTTGAAAATGGTGAAAGGTGGCAGGACTGTTCACACTACAGACCATTTGAAAACCGATTTAGTGTTTGGGATGCAGCCTTGGAGGAGGAGGAGTTAGAGAAAGGTTAAATAAGGAAGATGAAAATGACGTGTTTCAGCCAATCACAGGAGGAAACAGGGACTGGTTAAATAAGGAAGATGAAAATGACGTGTTTCAGCCAATCGGAGGAGGAGGAGGTGAATAATGGAGGCTGATACTGTGGGATAATGAGCATGACTGAGAGAGAAGAGATGAAGAAGAGGTAGAGTGTGTACCTTTCGTCTGATGCTCTGCCAATCCTCTTCCAGCATTCTTGACACAGACCTGCTTCTCCACTTCCTCTTTGTTCTCCTCTTCATATTTATTTTCCTGTCCTTCATTCAACACAAGATGAGCTTCTTCTGATTCTTTTTCCTCAGATTGTGGAGGATCTTCAGAACATGAGTCATTTACAGTTCTGAAAGACTCCTCGGTTCGCTTTTCTTTTTCAGAACAAGAGCACTCAGGCCGGTTTTGTTTTTCACAATAAGAGTCCACAAGTTGGTTTTGTTTTTCAGAATCAGAGTCCTCAGTTTCCTTTTCTTTTTCAGAATAAGAGTCCTCTGGCTTGTTTTGCTTTTCATAATAAGAGTCCACAAGTTGGTTTTGTTTTTCAGAATCAGAGTCCTCAGTTTCCTTTTCTTTTTCAGAATAAGAGTCATCTGGCTTGTTTTGCTTTTCATAATAAGAGTCCACAAGTTGGTTTTGTTTTTCAGAATCAAAGTCCTCAGTTTCCTTTTCTCTTACAGAATAAGAGTCCTCAGGCTGCTTTTCTTTTTCAGAATAAGAGTCCTCCGGCTTGTTTTGCTTTTCATAACAAGAGTCCACAAGTTGGTTTTGTTTTTCAGAACAAGAGTCTACTTGATGGTTTTGCCGTACAGAATAAGAGTCCTCCAGTTGGTTTCCACAAAAGGAGTCCTCAGTTTGTTTTTCACAACAACAGTCCTTAGTTTCTTTTACAGGAAAAAAGTTGTCTGTTTTTTTCTGAAAATAACAGTCCTCATTTTGTTTAACAGAATACAAGTCTTTTTGTTTTTCAGAATACAAGTCCTTAGCTTGTGTTTGCGTTTCAGAAAAACAGCACTTAACTTGTACTTGTGTCATACTTTCTAAATTAGAGTTCTCAGATGTTTGCTTTGCAGTATTAAAGTTACCAGGCTGGATCTGATTTTCAGAAATAGAGTCCACAAATAGATTTTCAGAATAAGAGAGTTCTAGTTTTGGTCGATGTTCAGAATAAGATTCCTCAAGTTCTATCTGATTTTCAGCATTAGAGTCCTCATGTTTCTTAGAATAAGAGTCCACAGGTTGTTGCTTTTCAGAATAAAAGTCCACATGTTTTTTACAATAAGAGTCTTCCAGTTGTTTTTGATTATTAGAAGTATAGTCCAACTTTTGCTGTTTTTCAAGCACATAACCCACATGTTGATGTTTTTCAGAATAAGAGTCTTCAGGTTGCTTTTCAGAATAAGAGTTCTCAGGTTGTTTTTCATTATCAAAAGTGTTTTCCAACTGTCTTTGATTTTTAGAAAAAAAATCAACACTTTTTTCAGAACAAGAGTCTTCAGGTTGCATCTGATTTTCAGAATAAGAGTCCTCAAGGGGCTTTTGTTTTTCAAAATAAGAGTCCATATATTTGTCAGAACAAAAATCCTTGTGTTGCCTTTCAGAATTGGAATCTTCGGGTTGTGCTGGTTTTTCAGAATTATATTCCTCATGTGGTTTCTGATTTTCAGAATCATGTAAAGTTTCCGGCTCCCCAGGAAAAGCTTGTCCAGAATTTAACCTCTCTAACTCATTCAAGGGTCTATGAAGGGTCCCGATTTCAAAATAAGAGTCTTCAGACTGAGCATGGGATATGCTATCAGAGTAGTCAGTGTTCTGTGTCTGATTTTCTGAAACTGAATCGGCCAGATTTGTTTTTTTAATGGTTATATTTTCAAAATAACACTCAGTAGAATGTTCTCTTTCTACGAAACGTTTAAGCTGGAAGTCCTCGGTTTGTGTTGTTTGTCCCACATGTTCACAATAAGAGTTCTCAAGTTTTGTTTTTTCTGTGATATTTTCACAGTAAAAGCCTTCTGGGTGTTTATTTCCATTCATGTTTTCACAATAAGAGTGCTGCAGGTTTAATTTTTCCATTAAAGTTCCAGAATCCTCAGAGTACTTTTGTTGTTTGTTACTTTCAGAGTAAAAGTCTATATCTATGTACTCTTCAAATCCTGTCTCTTTCTTTTCAACTTCCTCTTCTTCCTTCTGACCAACTTTACTCACTTCCTCCTTCTCTACCAGACACTTAACCTCTTCTTCTACATCCTCTAACTGTGCTTCATTTCTCTCTCCTTCCTCACCCTCCTCCTCCTCATCTTTGTTTATATTCTTTGACTCCTTTTCTTCCTCCTGTCCCTGCTCCTCATCACAAACCTCTTCTAGCCCCTCCTTACCTTCTCCATCCAGCGTGCAGCTTTCAGGTTCAGGGGGCCCGTCATGGCTCCCTTCTGGGATGGTAGCTTTTGTTTGCTCCTTCACCTCAGGAGTTCTGTGGAGATCTCCAGATGAATCCTGGCTGAAGTTCTCCTCCAGGAGTTTGGAGCATTGCAGAGTGTGTGTGCTGACCTCAGAGCAGGACCAGGAGTGCGTATGACTGTTGGTGGTGGAAGAGTGTGCGGCAGCAGCAGGTGGTGTGCTGGTGTTTGGGGATGTTTCTGTGCTGGTGTGAGCCGTGCTCCTCCTCTGCACATTAGCAGCATGTATGTGTGTACCTGTGTGTGTACCTGTGTGTGTAGCGGTGTGTGTGGTTGTCCTGGTTCTGTGCTGCAGGCTGATAGACTGGGTCAGGGATCCTTTCTGTGGGGAGAACCGAGGCAGCTCTGTCAGCTCCACATACTCCCCCTCAGAGTCTTCATCATCAACACTTGCTTTTGATTGGTCGGGTCTGATTGGGAGAGGGAGGAGCTTCACGTCCTTCTCTGAGGGGTTTGGATCATTCTTGTCCTTCACAGAGGACTCCCCCTCTGGGTTTGAGGTGGTCCGTGGCTGATTGATGAACTGAGGGTAAACCACGTCCTCCCAGGGGACCCTGAAGACGTCTCCGTGGACAGAGAGGATGCACCGCTCCAGCTTGGTGACCCCTCGTCGCTCTCTCTCCCTGTTCACAGAGTCCAGCCATGCCATGCTAAAGAGCGACGTCAGAGCCTCAACCGGCACCTCCTGCTGCTGGACATGACGACTGCCTGCAGAAACGCTGCACAGGAGCAGACGGGGGTTGGCGGAGATGCTGTACCTGCAGGAGGTGCTGTTCCTGCAGGAGGTGCTGTTCCTGCAGGAGGTGCTGTGTGCTGCAGAAACAGCAGGAGAAACCAGCAGGTAAAAGTCTCCTGGATGGAGGAGGTGCTGGTCCAAAGGACAAAGCTGAACAACTATCTTCTCATGGATGCAGAGAGGCCAGCCTTCATGGCGGAACAGCAGACCAGAGAACAGAGACTGGAGGAGGAAACAGAAGAAAGATATTTAGTTAGAATGCTTCTTTAGAAGAAAATAAATCTAGAAGCTGAAGGTTGTGCTGCCTGGATCTGACTGATGGACGGACGGATACAGGAGGACAGCGTCTCCAAACAACAACCAGTCTGACTTTATGCCTTCAATAAATTGACAGAGCAACACCAAGCAGAGTTGACCTTTGAAGTGGACATCTGTCCCCTGTGAGGACGCAGGTCATCTGAGGTCACCTCCACCATCTCTAAACATCTGGACTGAAATCTTTCTCCATTACACTTTAAAACTTTTCTAGCTCAGGTGTGGACTTTGACAAAGCTGCTTGAATTCATGAACCTGCATTGATCTAAGCAACCTTATTCTTTGTGTGTGTTGTCATCTATGTTCAATTCAATTCAATTCAATTCAGTTTATTTATATAGCGCCAAATTCACAACACATGTCATCTCAAGGCACTTTACAGTTCAACCAGATCATACAGTCAAATTGATACAAAGTTTTCTATCTAAGGAAAACCAGTTGATTGCATTGACTCATTGACTCAAATACAATCCCCCACACTAAGCATGCTTGTAGCGACAGTGGAGAGGAAAAACTCCCTTTTAACAGGAAGAAACCTCCAGCAGAACCAGGCTCAGTGTGAGCGGCCATCTGCTGAGGCCCACTGGGGTTCAAGGAGACAGAAGCAGAGACACAAAAAGCAGCTGTAAAAGGCGGCCCCGTCCAGGAAACACACAGCCAGGCAGACGAGCTCCAAGGCAGCTCCCATGCCAGAGGACGAAGAGAGCACATCCACTCAGTCACGGTCAGAGAAACAGGACCACACTGGAAAACCGGCCGATCTCCAACATCTATAAACAAGGGTGTTGATAGAAGCAGCACAGCTGATGTTTTTTTCCAGGATGACGTCACAGCCAAACAGGAACAGACGAGGCAAAGCTACTCTGAGGAAAAGCAGAGAGAGCAGAAGGTTAGAGATTGAACTAACAGATTCTGCAGAATAGGAGAACAGAGAGAGAATGAAGCAGAATGATGAAATGGGGGTCCCTATGTCCTCCAAAAGTCTAAGCCTATAGCAGCATAACTATAGAGATAGCTCAGGATAACCTGAGCCACCCTAACTATAAGCTTTATCAAAAAGGAAAGTTTTAAGCCTAGCCTTAAAAGTAGACAGGGTGTCTGCCTCACGGACTAAAACTGGTAGTTGGTTCCACAGGAGAGGAGCCTGATAACTAAAAGATCTGCCTCCCATTCTACTTTTAGAAATTCTAGGAACCACTAGTAAACCTGCAGATCTAGAGCGAAGTGCTCTGTTAGGAACATAAGGAACAATCAGATCTCTGATATCAGATGGAGCTTGGCCATTTAAGGCTTTATATGTGAGAAGGAGGATTTTAAATTCTATTCTGGATTTAACAGGAAGCCAATGAAGAGAAGCCAGGATAGGCGAGATATGATCTCTCTTTTTCATTTTCATTAGAACTCTGGCTGCAGCATTTTGGATCAGCTGAAGGCTTTTAACTACAGTTTGTGGACTTCCTGATAGTAAAGAATTACAATAGTCCAGCCTTGAAGTAACAAATGCATGGACTAGTTTCTCAGCATCACCCCTGGACAGGAGATTTCTAATTTTTGTAATGTTCCTCAGATGAAAGAAGGAAATTCTAGAAACCTCTTTGATGTGGGATTTAAATGACAGGTCCTGATCAAAAATAACACCAAGATTTTTTACTTTATTATCTGAAATCAGTTTAATCCCATCCAAATGAAGTGACTGGCTAATCAGTTTCTTTTTCAGAGACTCTGGTCCAAAGACTATAACTTCTGTTTTGTCTGCATTCAGGAGCAGAAAGTTAAGAGTCATCCAGGTTTTTATGTCTTCAAGACATGCCTGTAATCTATGTAATGGGTTAGCTTCATCTGGATTTATAGACAGATATAGCTGGGTATCATCAGCATAACAGTGGAAATTAATCCCATGCTGTCTAATAATTCTACCAATTGGGAGCATGTATAAAGTAAAGAGAATTGGTCCTAGCACTGATCCCTGTGGTACTCCACAGGTAACCTTTGAGCGTGTTGAAGATCTATCATTAACATGAACAAACTGAATTCGATCAGATAGATAAGATTTAAACCAGTCTAGTGCTGTTCCTTTAATTCCAACAAAATATTCAAGTCTTTCTAAAAGAATATTCTGGTCAACTGTATCAAATGCAGCACTAAGATCCAACAGGACGAGCACAGATACAAGTCCATTATCTGAGGGCATGAGAACATCATTAGTGACTTTCACCAGAGCTGTTTCAGTGCTATGATGAGCTCTAAAGCCAGACTGAAACTCTTCAAAAAGTTCATTATGGTGGAAGTGATCGCAAACTTGTTTGGCAACTACTTTCTCAAGAATTTTGGATAAGAAAGGAAGATTGGATATAGGTCTATAATTGACCAAGTCATCTGGGTCAAGAGACGGTTTCTTAAGCAGAGGTTTAATTACAGCAACCTTAAAAGCTTTAGGTACATATCCCTGTAACAGAGATAGATTAATCACATCTAAAATGGAGGAGGAGATCAAAGGGAATACCTCCTTAAATAACCTGGTTGGAACTGGATCTAACATACAAGTTGAAGGCTTAGATGAAGACAATAATTTTGCTAATTCAGAAAGTTAAACTGGATCAAAGCAGTCTAAACCCGGTTCAGATTCCATGACTACCTCAGGTACAATCGCGGATAGAGGAGTGCTTATGATCTTATTTTTAATAAGATCAATCTTATTTATAAAGAATCCCATAAAATCATTGCTGCTAAGAGCAGGTGGAATGGACGGTTCAACAGAGCTATGGCTCTGGGTGAGTTTGGCAACTGTATTAAAAAGAAATCTAGGATTATTCTTATTCTCCTCTATTAATGAGGAGAAGTATGCTGCTCTTGCTTTACAAAGAGTCCTCTTATACAGCAGTAAACCATTTTTCCAGACTAGGAAGGACTCCCGCAGGCCTGTGGAGCGATATTTTCTCTCCAGTTTCCTAGCATTTTGCTTCAAAGTACGCAGCTCTGCATTAAACCAAGGAGCAAGCTTTCTATTTTTAACGGTTTTCATTTTCAAAGGAGCTGCGTTGTCTAAGGCAATACGCAGAGAACTAGCAACCCCATCAACAAAATCATCAACCTGTGAAGGGGAATAAGCTAAGCTTTTGCACTCTGCAGCACTGCTCAGTGACACAGAGGAGAGAGAAAGTGAAGCAGATTCTTTAAAATTTATAACTGCACTATCTGATAAAGATCTACTAAAATTGAACCTTCTTTTGGGGGAGGAGAACTCTGTTAAAGTAATCCTGAAGGTTATTAGAAAGTGGTCAGAGAGGACAGGGTTGTGAGGAAATACTGTTATTTCTTCACATTCTATGCCGTATGTCAGCACAAGATCCAAAGTATGAAGATGAGAATGCGTGGGACTATTCACATTTTGAACAAAGCCAATAGTGTCTAAGATAGCATTAAAGGCTGCTCTTAAGCTATCGCCTTCAATGTGAGCATGGATGTTAAAATCTCCCACTATGATGACCCTGTCAGTATTTAATACCAAATCAGAAAGGAACTCTGGAAACTCATCTAAAAATTCAGAGTAAGGACCTGGTGGACGATACAAAGTTACAAAAAGAAGAGGTTTTCTTGCCTTGAAATTTGGATCAGGGAAATTAAGGGTTAAATGTTCAAAAGAGTTGTAGGAATTAATTGTTTTGGGAGTAATCAGTAAGTCAGACTGGAAGATTGTTGCTACTCCTCCTCCTCGCCCAGAACTTCTGGGGATGTGAAAATTTAAATAGCTTGAAGGAGTTCCCTCATTTATGCTCACATAATCCTCTTGCTGCAGCCAGGTTTCTGTAAGGCAAAACAAGTCAATGTGATTATCACAAATCAAGTCATTAACTAGTAGACTTTTAGAGGAAAGCGATCTTATGTTAAACAGACCGCATTTAATTGTTTTAACTTTTTCCCCAATTGGAGTTATTTTGATTTTAATTAGATTATCATGATTTACTCCTTTGGGAATCTTTGCTAATTTAGAAGGCAGCAGAAAGAAAACATGGCTGCTGCGTCTGTCTTCCTTTGCAGAAATGTTGTTTCTACCAATAGGAGGCTTGTTTTCACTGACAGAAAGAGACGTGGTGCTCTCAGCCAGATTATTCTAACTTCTTGTATAAATGTGTTTTCTTTTCAGTCATCCTAAAATCAGAGTCAAAGTCAGGAAGATGAAACTTTCCTGATCAGTGAAATCCTGCCAGGCTCATAGTGAGCAGGGTGCAGCTAGTGTGCTGCTGGAAGTTACTCACAATCAGCTCTGTGATTAAACTTGGTTAGGACACCTGCAGTCTTTTACATTTTGCTGAAAATGAGCAGAAAACCTAAATCTGAAATCAAAATATCAATTTAATGCTTTGCTATTGAGAATAAAATACACTAATATCTATAATTACAGAAACACAAATGAATTTTAGTGTCTCATTTATATCCATCCATACAAATAGTTTTTCAAAAAGAGAAAATCAACCCTTCAGTTTGGTTTATAGATAATTTCCTGATTCCCATATTTTCTCAAACCCCTGAACTGATGGTTTGTTATTTTCTTTCTTTTTTCTGTCTTTTTTCGGCATATATCAACACATGGCGAGAAACTTAAAGCATGCTTTCCCACCGCCTGCCAGCGTCTGCCGTCCGTGGTCCATCAGTTCCAGGTCAGTTATCTGATGCTGACATCCGTTCGGTCTAAGTTCCTCATCAGTCGTGGCGTCTAGCTGATCCTAAACCTCTGACTAACTTCTGCGTAACTTATCCAGAACTTCTCTCCAACATATCAGCGTATCTGACGTGTTCCAGACGAGCGCTGAACGGAGACTTTATCTTCATAGAAAGTTCCTCGTATGTCAGCGTTTTAGGAGATTCTGGGACGTCAGGCATACGCTGGATAAATCGGCAAGGTGTGACAGGAGCCTAAGTTTAGATTTCTCTTGTCTCACATATTTAGTTTTGCTATTTATTCGGTGAAAAAGGTTTTTACTCTGTTTCACCTGCAAAGCCACAGAATGTCTGAGAGAGAAGTGTTTTGCATTTACATGGAATACTTATTCCATAACAAACCAAATTCTGTCTCAAGAATCGTTATTGTTTAACCAAAGTCTGAGTCATTTGTTTCGACTCTGACAGAATCTTCCAGCTTTTTCCTCGTTAAAAGCAAAGGAGAAAAACTGTCTAGATCAGAACAGGGCTGATTACCGCGTCATATGATCGACTGTTCTATGTTTGCAAAGATATGAAAATAAAGTACAGACTGAGTGAAATCCATCGATCTCCGTTTGAATGGTTGAATACTTTTTCCCCACTTCAGCTGCATATGTCAAACAGAAGCTGAATGCAGAGCAGCGTAGGAAGAAAACACCTTCAGCATCAACGCTAAACCTTCTATGATCAGAACCTGAGAGGCCTTGATCACCAACTGATCAATTCAGGGGGTGATGTAAACATCGCTAGTGACGGTCTGCTAAGCGACGCTAAACTACAAACACAAACTTTCCAATCAGGGTGAGAAAACTACGACTGGTCACTACCGTGTAACGGAGCGTCATTAGACCTAAAGACGTGAGCAGACAGGAGGACACCGAGGACACTGGGACAGCTCTTCAGGAACTTACGCAGGCATCCTGCTGGAGGTTCTGCAGTAGGTTCTTTGCAGGAAGCAGGAAGTGGATGAGGTAGCGAAGGCCGTCTCCTCTGAAGCAGCTGTCCACTACGCTGAGGACCTGACACAGAAGGGTGGGAGACGTGGCGTGGAAGGGCGGGTAGAGGCCTGCCAGAGCTTTCTGGATGCAGCGATCCAAAGACTCAGAGTCCTGGAAGCAGACAGAGGGAGATAAACACGGGTTCAGTCGGACTCTGACTCCAAACACACCTGGTTTTAACTGAAATGGTCCAAACCAGAGCATGCCCAAGGTGACAGCTTCTGATCAGAACCAACCAGCAGGTATCAACCGGAACCCTGAGCTCCACCAGGCCAGCCCCCCCCCGCTGAACCAGAAGGTCTGCCCCCAGAGTTCAGAGCCATCGATGCAGCACACTCTCCTTTATTTCATCTTTACTGAGTCAATAAAGTTTAATTTACATAAACTTAAACCTCTACATCACAGATTAACTCCAACATTTGAAATAAGGTGGATAAGTAGGTCATTAAAACAGTCTGAACAAAAACACAACCTCGCTTCTCCAAGAAGATTAATGTGAAATAAAGTTTAAAATAATTCTGAAATATAAAGCAGAGCTTCATCTGTTCATCTGTTCTAAACATCAATCATCTCCATCAACCAGCAGCTAGATCTGCTTACATAGAGACGAGTTCTTTCCTTAATCACAGAGAACACATAGACATACACGCCACAGACACACACCACAGACATACACACCATAGACACAAAGTTAACTTAAATGACCAGTTACTTCAGGAAAATGTAACCAGAATATAAATTTTTACATAAATTGCTTGATCATCTATTAAAAACTGCTCAGTAGTTTATTTTCCTTTTTCTTCTTCTTAACAGCTTAACTTTTAATTTGATTATTTAATCTAGAATCTGCTGGTTTTCTGAGTCTTTCTCTGTTATGGAACAACGGAAGTATTTCTGTTTTATTCTATAGCAAACCGGATAGTTTCTATCAATGAAAGGTCTACTGTGTGAACTCGTCTTAGCATCAAATTGAGGACATGTTTTTCCATCTACCTAACGCTCCGATGCGATCGACCTACCGCTCCGATGCTATCTACCTGCCGCTCCGATGCGATCTACCTACCGCTCCGATGCTATCTACCTGCCGCTCCGATGCGATCTACGTGCCCGCTCCGATGCTATCTACCTGCCGCTCCGATGCGATCTGCCTGCCGCTCCGATGCGATCTACGTGCCCGCTCCGATGCTATCTACCTGCCGCTCCGATGCGATCTGCCTGCCGCTCCGATGCGATCTGCCTGCCGCTCCGATGCGATCTGCCTGCCGCTCCGATGCGATCTACGTGCCCGCTCCGATGCTATCTACCTGCCGCTCCGATGCTATCTGCCTGCCGCTCCGATGCGATCTGCCTGCCGCTCCGATGCGATCTGCCTGCCGCTCCGATGCGATCTGCCTGCCGCTCCGATGCGATCTGCCTGCCGCTCCGATGCCACAGATCGCCCAAAGACTTTAAAATAATCCACCCGTCCCTTCAGATTCTGATACATGGAGAACCTGATCAGAACCAGAACAGCAACAATGACCTCCTGCTTTCAGACAGTTTAGATCTTAAAGGTGTCTCCACATTTCTTTTAGAAAACTAAGAGGCCTCTGTCATTACAGTTATGGTTGATGCAATTAAATAAACTGGTTCCGGTTGTGCAGGTTTGAACAGATAATTAGCCGTCTGTCCCCGCAGGGCCATGATTCATCGTCCCATTGATGACAGAACCAGTTCCTGCAGGGTGTGGAGGAGCAGCAGGTCAGAACATCAGTCTGCAGGACATGAACTCTGGCTCCTGCCGAGTCGGTTCCCTGAAAACAGCAGCCGTAATGATGAAACCTCAGGAGACGTGACCTCTGGGTCCTGATAGAGCCGAGAGGGAGGGGCCCAGCTGTCCCTGATCTGGGAGCAGCTACAGGCTAATGTGATTAGGAGGAGGAGACGCCTCCTGGATGGAAGGACTCTTTGAACAAACATGGCTGACACCCTCCTGGATTAATGAAAACATGTCAGTTTGATTAAATGGTTTGAAACGTTTCCAGTTTGCTAGCAGCATGGGGTCAACGTTTAGAAATAAAGAGGTAATGAGATCAGCAGCATCACCGACGCCTTCCTGCTGAAACGGAAGCAGAGAAGTTTCACCAACATTCTGATTCGCATGAATAGATTTTACACCTGTTGGCTGATCTAAATAGTTAAAGATCCCCCCCCCAGGTTTGCTCCTTCCTAGTCTGGTCTACAGAAACACAGAACCTGATTTCAGGAAATATAAAAGTAGATGAATGGATTAGTAATACAATTGATCGGTGCAGCCCTACATAAGAGAAGGATCCTTTGCTGCCTGCAGCAGTCGGACCACTTCCTGTTCAGGCTGCTGAACCAACGTTCCCCTCAGCAGCAATATCTTCCCAGAGGTGCAAACCTGTAGGACCATGAGAAGAAGCCCAGCTGTGTTCTTCATCCTGCTGCGGCCTGGACCACTGACCATAGATCTGCAGCAGCGTTTATACGGTGGTGGTTTAATACCGAGTCACCATTAAACCCAGTTTAACCTGCCGCACCAACCTGGACGTTACCGACCATCAGCCTGCTAACCGTCATCAGAACTCCCGCGCTGATGTTTGGAGCAATTACAGAAAAAGCTCATCAGTCAGTTTGTTTCTACGACGACTATTAGGGCCAGATTTATTTTTCTATTTCGAGAATAAAGTCATAAAATTATGAGAATAAAGTCGGAATTTTATGACAACTCTTAGGAGAAGCATTTTCTTCCCTAAAATGAGGAATGTGGAGCAACGTGTGAAGCTATACTTCATCGTCAAACTGGGCAGGAAGTCAAAGTGGACTCTGGCTGCTGATTGGTTGAGCTGCTCGGCCGTCACCTGCTGGGCGGAGCTCCAAGCTTTCTGAAACGAGTTGTTGTATGATGACTTTATTCTCGTAATGTTACGACTTTATTTTAAAAATCTCTATGGTGGCCCTAAAACTCTGTCGTAGTTTTATTTTATTCTCTTTGCGTTTTAAACTTAGAAAGTGTGGAAGTCCTGCTGCCAGTGGAGCAGCAGCAGGACTCACCTGCCAGGACTCTACCTGTAGCCAGAAGTTCCTGCAGGTGAAGAGCTTCCTCCTCTAATCACCCACTATTGTTCCCAAGCTTCCTGGGTTTGCTGCTGCATGCTGCAGCTCGTCTGCAGGAACTCCTGTTTTCCTCACGCGGATCAGCGTTTCATCTTCCGTTATCACATTCCAGGGATGACGGGCAGGAATGAGAGCGGAGGCACGCCTTCCGCCTGCTGCAGGCCAGGAAAGGTTGCTTCCACAGCAACTGTTGCTGACAGAGCGGCTGTTAGGAACCAATCTGCTGCTCAGGAACATGGAGGCTTGGAGAAGGCCTACTGTAATCAGACAACTGGAACCATGGCTGAGCAGCTTCAGGAAAGATGCGAGCTGATTCCCGTCCAGAGCCTGGTCTAACGGAGGGGTGTGAGGACGCCAAGGCGTGACATGTGACTGGATGACAGCGTCACCTGGGAATAAAAACACGCTAAATCCAGACAGTTTAGAGAGTTTGTTTTTCCCATAGCCTCACTAGCGTCAGCAGCTTCAGCAGGTTTTGGGTGGCGTTAGCCTTACAGGCTACGCAGCGCTGCGGCCAAACGATTGATTAGGAGGACAGACGGTGGAGCAACCAAAGGTTTCCCTTTGATCCAGGCGGATCCTGCTGGAGCCTCAAACAGTGACTGGTTACCGTTTGTTCCTGCAGCTGCTGGGATGTTCTCAGTTCTGGTAGAATGAGGCTTCCTGACCCCGAAACCCCCCCAGCTGAACCTCCATCTTTTATGATGATTCTCAGTCATCCATGTCAGAGTCATTGCAAAAAAAAAAAGTTAAAATCAATCCTCTGGACTTTGAAGACGTTTCTCTTCCATCCAGGAAGATTTTTCATCCAAAATGTCAGAAATAGCGTTTAGTTCCAGGTTTTATCCAGCAGCCCAACAAAGCCTGGTTTTAGTTTAGAAAACATGCAAATAGAAACGGATGAACGGGTCCCCCCCTTTGGAATGGGGGTCGTTTGGCTTCTTTGTTAGCCTGCAATGCCCCATACCTGTCTATGTCTCTGAAAGGGGGGGCGTTAGAGGGAATAGTTGGCCTGGATGAATAGGGGAGGTCTTCTGTTCTCCTCTAAAGGGGTGGGGGGGTTGCCACCCCATCTTTCACACTTAAACATGCATAGATCTAGAGTGGGTAGATGTGAACAGACTGGAAGCAGTGCCATCCTCTCTGGATGCGTCTTCATTAGAACCTCTTTGCTGTTGTTTGTGTGTTTGAGACCAAACACTGTGAAACAAAGATGTCTGACATGAGTGGCGCCGGAGGATCAGAGGAGGAGACACAACGCTTCATGACGGCTGAGAAAATAAGGAGGTTTCCAGGCTGGAGTCTCTGTAACGAAGTGATGATCCATTTGATTCCTGAATGACTCCTTCAGCTGCTGCTCAGGTTTACCACAAACGGAGCTTATTTAGTCCTGTTAGGAGTTCCTGCAGGAAGGTCCCTGTTGAAATAAGTCCCCAGGACTCCCTTTAAAAATGTCCTTTATTGGACCCCAAACTGATACCTGGGGTTTAATTCTGGACAACCTTCTTCAGACGGAGGCTTTTTTCCAACCTGCTGGAATTGTCTATTTAAACGGACGTTCAGCACCACAGCAGCTTCAGTGGCTGTGGGGGGAGACAGGACTTCCAAGGTCTCCGTCCAGCTGCTGGTGAAGAGCAGCTCTCACTGATGGAGCAGAAACATTAAAGGCAGATCTTCCATGATAGAACTAATCAGACCAGCAGGGCTGCTCTGCCCGTTAGGACTAAGCTTCATTCACTCTGAGTGGATCAAGTGAAGATGATTGGGAGGTCTGGGTCCCACTGAAGTAGGTCAGAGGGGGAACTGGTGTTAAATTCCAGTGTGGGGGAGTTTTCCCACATGAGCCACAGTGGGGCTGTCAGGCTTCATGTTTCAGGAAGAATCCTGAGGATCTTTGTGCTGCTGTCGCAGGTCCGATCCGTTCCAGCAACAGCGCAGTCAGCACCCTGGACAAAGACACTTCCTGCCTCTGAATGGATGAAAGCCTGCTG